AGCCGCCGCCGCCATCGCCCCGCGGCCCCGCGGCGAGCGCCGGCCCCGCCACCGACTGCGCCAACGGCCAAGGCGGCGAGCGCGGCGCGGCCGCCCGCAGCAGCCATGGCGGGTCTCCTGGCAGCGCCGCCTCCCCGCAACGCGCCACCCCATTGGCCTTCGGAGGCAGCAAGAAGGGAGCGGATTGGCTCCTGCGCCGGAGGCTCAGTTTCGATTCCGCGGCGCCAACACGTGCCCACATCCCTCACAGAACAGGCCCGGCTACGGCGGCCGCGAGGGGCCCGGCAGCGCAGAGCGTGCGCGCGTCCCGCGCCGCGGGGCGGCGGGGAAATCAAATAACGGCGCCCAACGGTCCCCCGGGGCAGGGCGGCGAATACTGATTGAAAAGCCCCATGGGAAGGGCGCAGTGGTCAAGTCCTACCTATGGCAGCCCAAAGTTAAAGTGCTCGYTGTGTGGCAGCATCTAAATTCATCCATTACCTGAAGCTAACAAGAATTTAAAATTTAGAGGGAGGAATTTCGTCTACATTGCAGTCCATCGCTAGTTTGGTTGTAATGATATCGTTTGTGGGTTTCAAAACAATTCTGTGTTTTCTTAATGAGATTTTTCTGTTGAAGTTGTATTTATAAAAACCATTCATTGGCTGGGGAAGAGTCCCAAGTAATAATTTTCCCTCTGTGCCAGCATGTTTCTTCTCTTTTAGCAAGCCTCACAAGAGAGAAATCAGAACACAAGTAATCCAGAAACTTGGGACTTACCTGGGCAAGATGACTTAACTTGATTCAGATTCAGAAATCATTGATGCAATTTTATTTTGCTACAAAAATATATTAGGTGGCAAAGCAAGAATGTCCACCGTGTTCTCCTGAGTTGATGTTTGCTCTGCTTCTGTCAAGCAGAAGATGGTTTTGAAAGATTCTTATGTCACTAAAACTCATTGAAATTGATATTCTCTAGCTCATAGCAAACAACTGATCAAAGCTTTGTGCCTTTAGAATAATGCGTTTGATTTCCTAAGAGTCTGATAACTGAGTGGTTGAAAACATACAAAAGACACAAGCAACATTTATCTTCTGCTATTGAGGAGCAAAGATGGTCACCTAGGGCTTTTCCAACACCTTATGCTGACAGGATATCATTAGGGAAAGACAAAATATTGTGTTGGAATTAGCTAACTGATGCCAAATGACGCCGCTTCGGTTGGGGGCAGAGGCCATCCACCTGGGGTTACAAAGCACCAACACCAATGTGATGGTGTCATGGTGTGCTGAGTGACGTTTATTGTCTTCTTCACACCTCCTTTATAGTTTCCCCTGGGGCGGAAGCGCTGCAGGCAATGCCCAATCCCCAATCACAAGCACAGCCTGGCAGTATATCCTTATTTGTCAGCGCTGTAGACACGTCCCTATTCTTCCCGTAACATCGAGAGATCTTCCGAACGCCATGCCTTATACTAAATCCTGTCTTATGCTACATCACTTACTTATGCTAAGCTCCCTACATTTCTAAGCTCCCTACAATATTGAAAGCAGAGAATTACAAGGTTAAAACTGAGAAGCAAGGAAGATGCATCATACAAAGAGCAGCATGCACGTTGGAGCTTCCACCAGATGATGTTGACAAAAATTGAAAAGAAATAAACGCATATAATGAAGGCCTAGTTGAGAAATATGTGAGGATGGTTTTGAAATAATCTAGAACTGAGAATTTTCCAACAGMAGTATTCTCCATTCACTACAAAGGACTAAAATAGTTAAATTAAATAGTAAATTAAATAGTAGCATTCTGTCATTCTAACTTTAGCCATGAGAAAAATAACTTAYATTAAAGAACTTTTCAGAATAATGTCAGAATAAAATTTAAGAAACATTCAAACAAAATATACAGGTCAACTAAAAACATTATCCAAGTTGCTTTTAACTAATAATGAATTCTATAATGAAGAGAGGTTGTTAAAAAAATCCAAGATAAACAGAAAAAATAATTTTCAGGTGATGCTTTCAAAAAATAATGGTTAACTTCATTACTTTTTCCCATTTGTAAATGTGTTAGAAAAGTTAATCTGTTCACAAACAATAGCAAACATTTAAAACAGAYCTTTTAACTTAAACTAAAGTTATTAGATAGCTGTGAGAAGCCTTAAGTTAACTGCTGATATTTTAGCTTCTTAATTTGCCTACTTTGTCTATATTTTTCATTAAATATTTCCTCTGGTATTTTTTCCCCTCAAAGTCATACTCAGCTTCAAGTAAAAAGATTAAAACTCTTAGTTTCGTGAAACTAAAACACTTAGTTTCTAATGCTTTCAGACCATGCATTTAGAAGAAGTTGACTAGAAAATTTTGGTTGGATATTGTTGGTAACTGTGCAAGATACAGACAGCCCAGGAACATTGGCCACTTCTCCATTYGCATTTCCCTCTTGGTGTTGAAGTCAGCCTAAGAGATGTGTTTTGCTTGCAGAACTTGGCTCAGATGCAGCAGATACCAGTGAGCAGGGAGGAAACCTGGCACTGGGATGTTACCGCTGATGAGCCAYCCAGCATCTGCATTTTACTCAGCAAAGACCACCCAGAAGTTATTTTTCCAATCATGTTTACCAGAGAAGCTTCATCAGTTGATGCCATTCAGCTCTGCTGCCTGTGTGTGGGACAGTGTGCTGATGACATCGTGTTTTAAAATTGACCCCTGCAAATACTTTCATCCAGCTCTCACCTGGGGAATTCACATTTTACTGACTATATTAAATCTCACAGTATTTTTATTCTAAAATAAGGCACTATATGGTAAATAGGTGGTCAATACACCATGCCCTAAACACCAGCACATTTGGACTCCTTTTCCTCATAAGAAATAACAAACTTTAGAGCCAAGGGACTTCTGCTGTGAACGCCCTACCCACAGATGTTCAGCAACCATAAATAAGAGCTAATCTCAGCTCTGGTGACAGCACATGGGAAGATAGATTTCTCTTTGCAGTTTTATTGAAAATGCATCCATCCAAAGTCCTGAGGGCATGTTGGAAATGCTAATTAAAATTTGTACATGTTCCCCTTGGAACAATATCTAGAACTAATACCCCTCCCAAGTTTTTTCTCCACCCAGAAATCAGAGATGGCCCAAGCAAGGCTTTCACCTCTCAGTAAGTAGCACTGAGATGAGTTTAGCCAGGCTAGCTGCATAGCAAACCCCACAGAGGGGCGTGTGGGAGTAGGAAAACCCTTGGGAAAAATCTCTTCCTGGCCAGATTATTCCCATCTCCTGGGGGAGAAGGCTGGTCCCTGCAAGGGCCCAGGGCCACCACCAGACCCTCTTCCCACATCATTGTCCCAGCAGCTGTGTCAGCTGTGCTGTATTTACCTCTGTTTGTTGTCCCGTGCGAAAGGGCACCCACCATAAACGTTCTCTTGTCTCTTGCTTCGGCTTTGTGCCTTCTTAGCAAAGTTTCTCCAGAATCGCTTTCAAATGCAGAGGCAGGTTCTGATGACGAGATAAGAGAGTTCGCAGTTCAGGTCCTTTTTAATTCCTTCATCAGTAGGTTTTGGTGTGACCAGAAGCTGGCCAACAGTGCATTGCTGACAAAAGAGCATCGTAGGCAAACTTAAATAGCTAAAATATTTGGAATTTAACTGAAAATAATTAATCAATTAGTCCCTATGCAAACACATTAAGAACAAAGCAGAGCCACTAGCTTTCAGAGTAGCTTTGTATGCAGCTTGGTGTACAAAGCAAAAATTGCTTTCTTATTTTGGAGTGCAAACAGTTTAGAGATATTCTGAGCTTGACACAGAAAGAGTTTGAAAGATATCAGTTTCCCTCTTGCTAGTATATAAAAATGCATTCAATCTAAAGACCTATTTTCATTTTCTCACAGTTTCTCTGCAATCTGTGAGCTAAATGGCATCTTCTGGATTAGTGAAGACAGTTCTGAAGCTTTTTTTTCCCTTCTGATTAGCTTTAATTCTCTCTGGAATGGCTTTGTACAGCCATACACATCAAAAGGAAAAGTCCAGCTAGGTATCACCTGTTGATCCAAGTGACCTTTCCAAGAAGCACTGCCACATTGCCTGGTAACTCAAGCTGCAACTGGACTTGAGGATGCTTGCTTAGGATTCAGGTGCAGAGAAAACCATGCAGGCAAGGACCTAGCTGCAGACCCATATTTTCCTATCTAGAAACTTTTGAAATACCATACCTAGATCCTTTAGCATACAGTCTGATATACATGCATGAGAAAAACTCGCAAGCCAGGCTGATACCAGCAGCCTCCAGCAACCCCTGGTCTCTGCTTGTATTTTTTAAACTGCCTCTGTGAGAGTAACAAGTCTGCAACAAATCAAATTCAGTGCATAGTAAAGGTTAGCCTAAAACACCGTCGTGGATATTGTCTTTGCGTAGATCCAATTTAGTCCAGTTTGTGTTGCTACATATTCGATAATCCCACAGGATTCATGCCTATGTCCTGGCAAAAAGGGACTAACTAACAGCTGAAAGGTTAGACATATCTTGTATCCATCAACACTTTTTAAATAGCTGTAAGCACCAAGTTACAGTGTGTATAGAGAAAAGATTTTAGAACCAATTTACCACTGTGTGGTGCAAGAAAACCCAGATGATTCCTGCTGTAAGAGGACTGGAC